TGCTCATGAAATGCCAAGTTACTTTAATACAATTCAAAGTTAAACCTACCTTAGAAAGAAAATATACCATTATAAAAATCTTGGAGTCATTATTATGAATCAATATTAGATAATTTATTATATGCTTCTGGCATATTTTTTCAACAAAAAGCACAAAATTTCTGTTTAATCTCGACATTAATACAAATTCAGTAAAATTCTACTTGAATTCTAATTCTTCTGAAGACTATCCTATTGAAATTTTTTTAAGTATCAACTCTACCAGATGACTAATGCTGTCAGTTCTAAACGTGACCATTTTTTAAATAATTTTTTAAAGTATTTATTTATTATTTATTTATTAGTTATTTCGCTGCTCCATGGAGCATGCGGGATCTTAGTTCCCCAATGAGGGATCAAACCCACGCCCCCTGCAGTGGAAGCACAGAGTCTTACCCGCTGGACTGCTAGGGGAGTCCCATTGTTTATAATTTTAAAAACTGAAAACTTGCATCCAACAGAAATAGACCAGTAAGTAAATTATTACACAAACATAAATGAGGATATCACATAGCTATTAAAAATAATAATGTTGTAGAAAAATACTGATATAAAAATGTTCAAGATTCATTGTTAAGTGAATAGAATAGTTTGCACAATAGTGGACGCATTATGAGACCATTTTGTAAACATCACGTCTATAAGTGTACACGTGATGTCTATAAGTATATGTACACTTATAGACATGTGATGTGGCTAAGCAAAACACAGGGAGAAGATATTTCAGAAGGTTAACAATGGCGTCTCATGGTTGTGAGAATTCCAGTGGTATTTTCAAAATTTAATTCATGTTCTGCATGTTTCCCAAGTTTTCTACATTAGGGATACACTATTTTTATAACTGAGGGGAAAGATTAAGAAAGAAATAAGTTATTTATGTTACAGCCATATTTTAATGCAAATGATAAATTCTTAGCAAGTTGTTGGTTTAACCCTCATTGTGGCAACACCCATTTGTGTTTTATTTTTTAAACACAAAATTTTGAACATGAATCAATCTGTATTTTCATTTTCTACTATTTTGGATGGGAATTAAAAATGTACATATCTGATTAAATGTGCCCTCTTTGAAAGAGATGGGAATTTTTGTCTTATTCTTGGATCTTATTAATATAAAAATGAGAAAATATTTCTGAAAAATAAAAGGTAAATCACATTCTAAACAGTATCCTATGAAAGTCAAAAATAATACATAAAAATTTATTTTTTACAAGTGATTTTTCTGTAGACTTCTAAGACTTAAAATAATAAGTAGACTTACATCTTTATGAAATACACACCTAAAATAACTAATAACTCAAAGTTGACACTATACTTATGAGGAGTTTAGGTAATTTAACATTTGCATAATCAAATACATGGAGAAAAACAGCAATCTCTTACCCACCTAATTCACAGGAGTTATACCTAACAGAGCTATAAAAATAAGTAACAAATGGTTGTAAAGCAACCTATAAATATAAATGCCATTATAAAAATCACAGTCAATTAGCAAGAATTAAATTGCTCTGACACTTAAAATGTATTCTGTAATTCATACAATCCATCTAGAATTTTAGACTCAGAAAAGGAGAAAATACAATGTCCACTGGTACAGTGCTTACAAGAAACCACACTTTAAAATTATTTTTTTACTTTATGCATCTGAGAAGAACTGGAAAGAGACACAAACAATAAAAGGTAGTTTTGCTGTGGAACTCTGAGTTTTCACCATATTGTTGTTTGCTTTCAGAGTTTAAAATACGTACAGCAAATAAATATTTTATTTGTCATAGCACCAGAAGTAAAAATGTGGGGGAGGGGGGACATTAAATATGTGCTTTGAGGGAAAAAACAACTTACTTTTTTTTTTTTTTTTTTTTGCGGTACGCGGGCCTCTCACTGCTGTGGCCTCTCCCGTTGCGGAGAACAGGCTCCGGACTCGCAGGCTCAGCGGCCATGGCTCACGGGCCCAGCCGCTCCGCGCCATGTGGGATCTTCCCAGACCGGGGCACGAACCCGCGTCCCCTGCATCGGCAGGCGGACTCTCAACCACTGCGCCACCAGGGAAGCCCCAACAATTTACTTTTAATATTAACACTGCCTGACATATTAGATGGTAGACAATAGTTAACTGGCAGAATTAAATCTCCTATTCTAAAATCCTGAAATCTAAGAGAGGCTGTATTATAATGATCAAATAAAACATCAAATGGTTCTTTCCAGTGGGAGAGAGTAAAAAGCAAGCAAACAAAAATAAACTATCAATTAGTGTTCATAAGTGCCTGCTATGAGGATGCAATTTAACTCCTTACTTCCTTACCCCTTAAGAGCTAAGATTTGAGCTTTATAAGTTTGTTCTATCCTTCTTAACTATTTAAAACGTTGAGATATCTACTCTCCCTCCAAACTCCATGCCCACAAAAATAAAAAGCTAGAAATAGTCTTACCCTTACAAACCTCATGTATGTTTTTCTTCTGGAATCTATCATTTCCCATCTTGTGTTATAATCATTACATACATGCTCTTTTAACCATACTAGATTTCAAACCCTCTGAGGGCAGGGTCAATTATACTTTATCTTTCCATGTATGTCACATAGCTTAGTAAAGTGTCTTGACTAATACTCAACTTTCTATCACCTAAAAAGAATTAAGTCTTGGTAACTATTCGCAGCTTGGTTTAAAAAAACAAAAACAATACAAAAAAACCCACCACCTCTGGAACTATTAGAAGGGCAATGTTCTCTCTGAGTGGAAGTATGCATGCAACTTGTCTGCTGTCAGTAAAGCACAAACCGGACCAAAATGCCTCTTCTCCCCTTTCCGCTTCAAAGGCTGGATTCCATCCAAGGCTGGATTCCATCCAAGTCAATCAATGTCTCTTAGTTAAGGACAAAGCCTGCCTAGGTTCACTTCAGAGGACCAGGAGAGGCTGATGTAATCTAAGGGGCTTTCTAGTGGTCTGCAAGTACAGGAGAATAAAATCAAAGTTTAACCTGTGAGCTACTGACCAGGTCAAAACCCAAAGAAAACGTTGGAATGTGGACCCTAAAGAGTCCTATAAAAGCCATGGAATCCATGTCTTACAGGTGAATTCAATCTACATCACATAAAGCTCACACCAGTTAAGACCTCACTACAAACTCTGTAAATGTACCCCAAACCAACCAGCCCCTCACAAGTGAAAAGATGAGAATGTCCTACGGTGTATACTACACGTTAAACTTTCTCACATACTCCAGGTCATTTCCCTGTCCTGTGGGTTAGTAACAGCCCACAGTAGAGGCAAACTGGCAAAGTAGACAATCAATCAATATAATTCTATTTTCAAGATTGAAAAGTCTATGTTTGTAAATGCACAGAAAAAAAAAACTGGAAAGTTATATAACAGTGTTAGCAGCAGTTACCTCTAGGGAGAGATGTGACAAAGTGGAAGTGTACAAGGGTGTTTTCTCTTATTATATATACGTTGTATTGTTTTAATTCTTCATGAACATTGATTTACTTCTATAATGTTAAAAACAAAATTTTAAGTAAAATTTTGAAATACGATTCTGTTTTTTCAAAAAGACTGAATAGACCCACATGGAATTCAAACGAAAAATAAATGCCATTTGCAGAAGTTTGGCTACTGGAGACCTACAGATCAAACAGACATGACACAATTATCCTATCCTACAAAATACAAAGGAATGCTGGTAACATAACAAAAATGCCCATAGCAACTGTCACTCAACATTCACTACTTTTGATTATACAACATTAGCCACCAGAGGAATTTTGAGTACCCACCCCCCAAAATTACATACTGCTTATAACAATCCATAAGTTGTAAGAAGTTTTTAGTGTTTTGCACCAACAGATCATTGACTTATCGGTTTAATTTTCCATAAGTAGTACTATATACATGTATACAAATATAAATTTACATGTCACTGAGGTTCATGTCTGATTGCCTTGAGAAAACCATTTCCCAATCTGAAAAGCAAACTACCTGGACAATCAATTCTTTTATCATTTTAATGGACTATTCATATTCTCCAACTATTTGTCATGACAACTTTGGAGTTAAAATAAGTAAAAGTAAAATTTTATACAACTAAGATTCCTGGGGAAGAAAGGAAGGGAGCACAAACTATGCTCTGAAAACAGCATAATCCAGCCATAATGCCAAATGTAAATAACGTCATATATTTTAGCAAAGCAAAATAAGACTAAACATCTTTAAGAGTTAAACTGGTGACCCCAGCCTCTTTCAATTTTAGTTCATTTTCCTAAAAAAAATTAAAAGAAATCATATTGAAGATAGCCAAAATTACCATAAATTAGGAAGGAAAGACAAGCAACAGAAAAAAACACACAGCAAATTATTTTGGAGAGGAGAACTTTGTTTAACCTTAAACCTATAATATAGTCACAAATATTTTAAAATATAAGGACATACAGTGTGCATGTCACTTCCCACTATCCCCTCATCATGCTACTTCTCCCTCTGCCCCATCACTGTCAGTTTTCCACTATCCCTCCAGATTTCTTTGTACGTAGAAAAACAAACACAAATCTGTATTCTTATTCCACGGGTGCCCCCTTAATACACAAAGTAGCACATTATTCACACTGTCCTACATCTTGCTTTTTTTTCGCTTTATAACATATTTTGGAGATCTTTCCATGTCATTACACAGAAAGCTTCCTCATTCTTCACAGCTGAGCATGACTAGTTCTACCACAACTTCCATCTATCTTCTTCAGGCTAACCTTTAATGACATTCTGTTCAGTCAACTACTTAACACCTGAGTTAGTTTCTTCCCCCCCCCCACCAAAGATTATAAAACAGAGAAAGCACCTCATTACCTAAATTTTATCCTTTTTAGAACGTTTATTTTTCAACCGGGTAGAGGGAAGACGTCGCATGATTTTCTCCTCTTATCACTTAAAATGAAGCTACAAATTAGAATGCAGACTTAAGTGAAATTACCTTTTTTTGATTCGGGGGATCAGCATAATAGCCAAATCAACAATTACTGTAAAAGTTTCTTTACTTCTTGGGCTTTTCCTTCACTGTAAAAGAAGACATTGGTTTTTTTCTTTTTTTTAAGGTTAGAAAGGCTTAAGGTCGTAGAGCGTGGCATTCTGATAGCAAGAAACCGCCACCTGATTCGATCTTTCATTTGCCAGGTCAGAGGACGAGGCTTTTACCTTTCAGGATTCTGCTATTACTAACAGGACGATTTCTACACCGGCGAAAACGCACTTAGGAATATAAGCTCTGCGGCGCTACGCGTTGGAAACTACACTCCTGGGGCCAGAGCTCCAGGACTAGCTATAAAGACTCCGGCTTCGCCGGCGGAAAGGCAGCTAGAAGAGCCAGCTGCCGCGGTGACACGGAGCAGGCGGGAGCGGATGGACGGAAGGAAGGAGAAGCGGCGCCGCGCGGGGCACCCTCGAACCCGCGCAGTCGCCTGAGTCGGACGCGCGGAGCCGCGCGCTCCCCGGGGACCGAGGCCCGGAACCGCGACCACTAACGGAACCAGCCCACGGGCGGCGGTGGCCGCCACACGGACTGCGGACCGCGGCGCGAGGGCCGAGGGCCGGGAGGGCGGGGGTTCCCCGGAGGAGCTGGCCGTCCTGGCGCCCCATTGGGCTCCGCTCCAAACGTGCCCGAGTTGTGACAGGAATAAAGTGGGTCACAAGGCCTAACGGGTCCCCAGCGAAAGCCCTCTCCGCACCCGGTCTCCGGCTTTCCCGGCCGCTCTGCCGCTCGAATCGGCCCCAGCCCAAGAGCGCGCTCCAGCCACCCGGCCCCGCCGTGCACCCCAATCCCGCCCCTGCCCCGCAGGTAACCCCAGCTTTTCCGGAGAGCCCCTCAACCGGGGCGGGCCTCCGCCCCAACTCCCGAGAAAAGACACACTAGGGCGACGGGCAAAACTTGGGCTTCAGCACCCGCCCGCCCCTCCCCTGGCCGCCGCCCCCCGGCCCCGTACACACCGCCCCCCGCTCCCTCCCCTTCCCCGCGCCCTCACCGTGTGGCTTGCGGCGGCTCCGGCTTCTTCCCTCCCCCACCCTGGAGCCTAGCTGCGGTGACTCGGAACAGCTAACCCGGCTGCGCCCGGAAGACGCCGTGGCTCCCAGCTCAGGCAGTACCTGGGGCTGAGCGGCGCCCCCCACCCACCCCCAAACAATTCCCCGCGACTGCCTCCCGCTCCTCCTCCCCCTCCCTTTCCTTCCCCTCCTCCACCAGCACCGGTAGCACGCATGCGCCGCCCAGGCAAGCCTACCGGCGGACGTCACGCCCCAGGCCCACCCGGTGGGGCGCCACTCACCGGGAGCGCGCACGCGTCGGCAGCCAGATTTCCTTCGCCCTCTGGGTCTCGGGTGTTTCCTTTTTCAAGCCGGTCGCCGCAAGCTGAGGCTGTGATTGCACTCCTTCTCGGCGCATGCGTCATCAGTGACCCCCGCGGGCTCCGACGGCTGGTGTTCTGCGTTCGCCCCTCCCCTCACTCTCCCTTTCCCCGGCGCGTCTCGGTGCGCATGCGACTTGCCTCGTTAGTCAGCCCTGAGCTGCGCAGGGGTTCCCGGGTGCCGGAGGAGACTCCCGCTCCCTTGGGCCGCGCGTTTGCGCGATCCGCGGCAGCCGCCGGCCGTGCAGGAAAACCGAGATCTCCCTGGCGCTCCTTCCCTGCACCCGTTACTGGAAAGCAGGGGAGGCGGGGCCTGGTCGGCTGAGGGTGCGGCCGAACCCGGGAGTGTTAACTTTGGGTCAGGGCGGCTTTGGTGTTCACCCTGGATTCGAGGAGCGAGGAGGAGAGAAAGGAGAGTTTCTTGTATGAGGGATCCAGAGGCTAAAAAGCAGACCCTCTCTCTCTTGAAAAGCAACTCATTTTGCGAATGCCAGGAAAAAATTTTCGGGTGTTGGCGGGTGAAAGACTTTTTCCCCCTTCCAATGGTATCACTTGCGTTTTGTCTCCTTGGACTGGAAGAGGGGATTTGTGAAGGTGACTGGATCTCCAGACTCTTCCCTTCCCCTCTCCTGCAGGTGCACTGCTTTAGTCGCTTCTTATTGGAGGGTGGGCCTAGGGAGACCGGACGTGAATCCTTGGCTGGAGGAGGGAAGCCAAAGAAGGTATGGATGTGCTCCTTTGGAGTTTTTTACCTGATCCTAAAGGCCAGGTGACAGTATAAAGGAAGATGGGAGATGAAGCAGTGGGGATAAACCAGGACCCTAATTTGCACTGCTTCCCATGTTAGAAAAACGTGTGAATATCTCCCCCTTATCTTAGGGGGAAATTACTTCCCTCGATGGTTAAGACACACTTGGTCCACAAGGGAAAGCACATTTCAGTAGTTGAAAATTATTGGAAGAGATCTTTTACTTTCCTAATTCCTAATAGTTTTCATATTTTAATGAATGTCCTTGGGGTTTGAAATAGAAGTCATTTTCTTGTTTCAAAAAATAAACAACTGTTGTGACTATAAAATCCTCCCTTCAAAGTAACATTCATCTCAGTAAACATTTCAAATTCTTGCAGTGTACTCAAGAGAAAAGGAACATCAGAATCGAGGAACTTATTCAGATCCCTGATCATTCACCTGAGGATTTTTCTGTCAACAGTGGGAAAGCATGATGGAGTCATCATATGACAGGATTTTAGTAGACATTTTTTTTCCTGCTTAGCAGTCTTTCCCTATTCTGATCATTTCCTTTGGAGAACTATCCTTTCTTCACTCTCAGACCATATGGCTGAGGCAGGACTCCAGAGGAAAACATATTTGAGTTAATCTTCTGCCTTAGGTTAGACTTACGAAGAAGGGTGATCTCTCTTTTCCAATGGATTTAAGTCTGGAAAAATGGAAGCCTGAAGCCATCTTCCCACTCACAGATTCTGAGAAAAAAGGCAACATGGAAGAAAGCAGATTCAGAAATGGAGATTTGGCCTGGAGACATGTGTGATGCCCTGAATCCATTGTGGACTAGATAATTCTGGAAATTTCAGCTAAGTTACTCAATAAATTCTTTCATGTATCTATTGCTTAAACCAATGAGAAGTTTTCTGTCACTTGCGATCATGAGTCCTAACATACTGGTAGCAAGAGATGAGGCAAGATTAATAATACTGATAAGGAAGGTTTCAACTAGACAAGAGGGTTTGAATGCTTTTCCTAGGATGTGGATGTTTATTCTAGAGAAAGTGATATCATATTCTGCATCATCTAGAACCACATATCTTCAAAAATACCTTTGCGGGCTTCCCTGGTGGCGCAGTGGTTGAGAGTCTGCCTGCCGATGCAGGGGACACGGGTTCGTGCCCGGGTCCAGGAGGATCCCACATGCCGCAAAGTGGCTGGGCCCGTGAGCCATGGCCACTGGGCCTGCACGTCCGGAGCCTGTGCTCCACAGTGGAAGAGGCCACAACAGTGAGAGGCCCATGTACCGCAAAAAAAAAAAAAAAAAAAAAAAAAACCTTTGCCCTTTTTAATGGTTCCATTGTCCTCTTATTCACTAGGAATGTATCATGTTCATCTTTGACTCCTTCCTCTCTTTATGTATTTAATCATTTACCAAGAACTGTTGATAATCCCGTTTTTCTGCTCAGTCCTCTGCCACCACTCAGACATTTCCCGTGGCTCAGTTCACAACTTATCTTTCTGCCCATATTCTCTCCAAGACGAATACTGTATCAGATATTTTTAATCACATTTCCAACTGCCAGACTCCACTTTTCCCTAAAAGAAAAATCCTGCCTCATAGTTTCAGAGACCCTAAATTGTCCCCCAGCCTAAATCCTCTCCTTAAACACAATTTATGTAATTCAAATATTGTTCATTTCTTCTTGTCCACCTTGCTATAATTTAAACTGAGCATTTCCAACTCCCTTCCCAACTGATCTCCACAGTTGATGTCTTGATGGAGGCAATATTGCTTAGTGGCTAAGAGTACAAAATTGGGAATTAAAGGCCAGGATTTATTCTAGCCCCACTACTTAATATCTGCATGACTCTGAGTAAGTTATTTCTCTGTTCTTTACTTTCCTCATCTGTAAATAAAGGATAATAATCCTGTCTCATAGGATAATTGAGAGAAGATATAGAATATAGATAGAGAGTGTGTGTGTGTGTTTGTGTGTGTGTGTGTGTATTGTACTACCTGGTACATAAGAAATCCCATAGTGGCTATTATTAATGATGTTCCTTTTTGTGTAGGTCTTACATCTCTTGCTCAATTTCTTCCCCTAGTTCCCTGTGTCCTTATGTCCTTTCTGTTCTTTCATAATACCTCTCTCATCCATCCTCTCCTTGACATTCCTAGTTTTGCCACTATAGTTTAAGGTGGATTGGAACATGGGAAGTTTGATATGCATAATAGGGAATATACTGTTAGGGTTTTTTTTTTTTTTTTTTTTTAAGAATCCTTCATGGTTTAATCAATTACTCTTATTCTTTCTAGATCCTTTAAAATAGTGGGAAGTCAATAATATGAGGTGGTATTACAGACTGTAATCAAAAGTCTAGGCTTAAATCCTGACTAATACTTACTAAGAGACACTGAGCAAGTTAAGTAATTTCTCTGAGCATCAGGGTATTTATCTGTAAAGTGAGAAGAAAAGCATCTCAGAACTGTGATGATCAAGTGTAAATTACAAACTACTGCAGAAAGGTTAGGTGATAAGGATGGGTGGTTTTAGATTTTTATGATTTGTTGTTGAAACCCTAGGAATGATTGAAACAACTCATAGGTTTGCAACTCCAGCCTACACCTCTCCTTTGGGTTCCAAACACATATCCAATTGTCTATCTGATGTCTCCTCTTGACTATCTCAAATATCTTAGATGCTCCCTTCAATCTGTTCTCCACAGGGCAGCAAGAATATTCTTTTAAAAATATAAATAAAATCACATGTTCCTACTTAAAACCCTTATTGTTTCCCATTATATCCAAATTCCTAATTGTGGCCATAATAACCTCTTTGATCTAGCCCCTGCTACCTCTCCAACCTCATGTCCTACCATTTTCTTCTTTTCCTGTAACACTTCCAGTTCCTTGCTAATCTCTCTGTATTCTCAGACTTTGGTACACGCTGTGCTCTTGCCTGGACCACCCTCCTACCTTTTCTCCTGGCTGGTTCCTCCTCAATCTTCATGTCTCAAAGATCTAACTACCCTATTTAAGAGGTCTCCCTCCTACCTCTCACCTGCCCCCCACACACAGTACCCACAGTTATTCTCTATTACTGCGCTTTTTTTGATATTTGTTTTCTTATCTATTAACTAGCTTCCCCTTGACACCACTACATGGTAAATTCCAGGAGGCAAGAACCATGTGTTTTTTTCACCACTGTACATGCAGCATCCATTTCAATGCTTGAGTTAAATGAATGATTGAATGAATGAATGAATGAATGAGATGCAAGTTAAAACATGCTAGAAGGTTTTTAGGATCATTCTTATGTTCCAAATTATGATTGTAGGCAGATTATAGTCTTGTCAGGAGGTAAACTTAGCAATGTGTATTAAAGTACGAAGGAGAGGTAAACTGAAAACGGTTAGTGAAACACTAGTACTGTGTTAGTAATTGAGTATTTGAAGACCCACAAGAATATATAACACTATAATAGACACAGCTAACACCTGTATGAGAGGCTGCTGAATGAGGTCCAAAATAGGCAACAAAGAACATGAAGTACTCACCCTCTAAATAGCTGCTTACATTTGGACCCAGATACTTTCTCCTTCAGCCAAGACTACAAGCTGGACAAAACTGGACCTAACACTCCCACTTTCAGGCCTATAAGCAGAACACATGAGAAGAAGAGGATGAGAGAATCATTGGAGCCATGTCTTACGAGGTTCCTGGAGAGCACTGTGGCTTTTCATTTCTCATTTATTCCCCACCCCACTCTAAGTTACATGAACGAGGCTCCAACAGAATCAGCTAGAGAAACTGCAGTGACTGTAAGAAGAGACTGGAATCTCATCTCTTGCAGATTGTTGATATGCTCTGCATCCAACTACTTGAACAGGAGGATAGAGACTTGGAGAGAAACAGCTTGCCAGGAAGTGGGCTTAAATAATGTAACTCCTACAATTTGGCATGGCAAGGATATGTAAATTTCTACAGGGTCCATCAATGCTGCTGAGAAAGTGCCCTCCGGGTTTGAAACACCTTGACACCTAAGGGGAAAAGAAATTCTAGCAGCAAGAGGCTGGTATACTTCTGGGAGTGGGAACTGAGAGAGATCAAAAGAGAAAGAGCTGCCGAAAGAACAGATCGCCCATATCAAGGAACCATGCAGTGGAGAGGCTGCCTCTAAGTTTCTAGAACTCAATGTGCCCATTAAAGAGTGAACATTTTGATGCAATATGGATTGTATTTACCCAGTTAAGAGAAACGTATCCCTTTCTTCCTTAATCTCCCTCCCAGTCCCCAAACCACAGAGAATGGACCTTGAAAAGAGAGGGAAGTAATTGGCTAAAAACAAACTCCACCTTCCATCTTCAGAGTTCCCGAGTCACAAGTTCAGCCAGAGAGCACTTGCCTGGGACCTGAGATTGGAGTTTTAAACCAGACAGACTTTTCATAACCAAAAGTGTGAGAGAAGAGTTAAAGAATATGTTCAAGATGTCTTTAGGGGACTTGCTAACTAGTGCAGCTTAATCAACTGAGAATCTCATTAACACAAAAATTCCAATTCAGCTAGTCTGGGATGGGGCCAGAGACTGCATTTCTAACAAGTTCCCTGGGGCTGCTGCTGATTCTAGGACCACACTTTGACCAATAAGAGACACTATAAAGTAGGGAAGGGAGTTTCAGTAGAGCATGGTTGGCAGCAAGGAATAGAGAAAAATATTAGGTTGGCTATATGAAATATCCACTTTTGTAGGTCAAAATGTTTGAATATTGGCAATTTCAAAAAACCTTTTAAGTTTGTATCCAAGCAAAGAAAAATTCATTCAATAAAATGGGAAACACAATATTAAATATTAAATAATTCCCCCACATTCTAACAATTATTTATACCCTACTTAAGCGAGAATGTATAAATGAAGTAGGGTATGAAATAGTACTGACCTGTATTGGTAAGCACGAGTACTTGCTAGAAGAATGTATTTGTGTGTGTGTGTGCGTTACTTGAAAAAGGCTGAGGCTGGAATCAAAACCAGCCACCTCTAACATGCTATAATTTTATGAATTTTACAAATGTTAAAGTTTTCATGAACTATGCTTTATGTAAAAACTACTGCCACCTGGTGGATTTAAGAGTTAAAAGAAATATGGATCTTTTTATTCAGACATCTTAAATACTTTTAGTACTTCCTCTGTTAATTTTTACTTAAAAAAGGAAATAGGCAAATATGGATTTACTAAAACAAGATTACATTTAGGGGAACCTTTTGCATTTAGTTTCAATTGGAAGGGAAATAATGTTTATACTTATATATATTAGATGGCACTAAAGTTACATTTTAACTTTATGATAATATGGCTTTTCCCTTAATTTCCACAACTGTTTTATCCTCAGTAGGAATTTTTCCATCCATTTGTTAGAGAATTTCAGGAGCTGGATCTTATAGGTAATTATGTCTCTGATATGTGTGCATAAAGCTATAATAAAGACCACTGTGTGCAACTCCCAACTTTCCTTCCCTTCATCCCAATATGTATATTTTCAAAACCTTTCTTTGCTATCTCAGAAGGGGTCTTCCTGATTCTTTCCAAAGTTAGATCATTTGATTTTACCTTATCTGGTGAAATAAATTATCATTACCTTACTCAGTCTGTATTTAACTTTCCTTCTACTTCATCATTCTCTGCAGCCTCTGTGATCCCAACTCACCCCCAAGAAGAGCAAAGAGCCTTTTCTGATTCCGTGTTAAACTGCCTCAATTCTCACCAATTTATTTTTGTAATCTAATCATTTAAAGTCTAGATCCTCTCACAGACATCGGTGAATATCCATAATCAGAATGATGGGTCATCAATACAAAAATAGTAGAAGAATAAAATCTGTTATTGAACTATTACTACATGCTGGATTTAACACCATTTTCTCTAAAAGTGGTGTTAATTATTAAGCCAACATAAGACATCCTGCAGGTCTTCTTCAGTGTCCTCGTATTACATATTTTCTCATGATGAATTCTTCTGTGATTACTATTAAAACATACATAAGCCTCATAATATATTTTTCTCACTTCTCTTCATGATTTAGAAACTTACATTGTATGACTTACAATGTCATACAGTTCTAATAATTCTGTTGCCTAACTGTCAGTATACTTAGTAAATCAATATTTTCTAACTTAATAATAGAACAACTATTAAAAACTACAACAATGAGTGCAGAAGTTTCTGTGTACTTTTCAGAACCTTTAAATTGCATTTTTTCTATTGATTGGTTATTTTTTTTTAATAGGTAAGAGATTTCGAACAAAAGTCATATGGTCATAAATTTAAGTATTTTCATTCAAAGCCCCTAAATAATAGACTTTAATATTGATTGAAGTAAATTAAATGAAATTTCATGGTTCTCTTTCATCATTTTTATCCACAGGCCTCTTTGGAAGTGAGCAGGCAACACAGAGGACTTGTAATATTTTTGTTTTTGTCCAATAAGGATCCGAAAAAAGATAAATCACAAACAAATATTAAGGGTTCAGTACAAATTCTAGTTTTGTTGGAGGCAATGAATATTCTAAAATACCTGAAAGTTTTTATAATGACATATAAGCTATAATTCTAATATAGAAAAGAAATTTATTTATGAATTTTCTGATCTTTATTATAAAGGCAGTGGCAAATAAAATATTCCATATATAAACACTTTAAAGCTATTTATTAAATATTTCTATTTGGTATCATCATTATCACTGTTTGAGCTATTAGTGTCATCATAAATAGAAGTGTTTCTAATTGAAGATACCATCACATCTACAATGACTCTTTTGGGGTTTTCTTCCAAATCAGTCTGTATTGCTCCAACTTCTGCTAGCTTCCATTCAAGTTCTGCAATAAATAATCCATCAATAAATCAGATAAAAATCTTGGAACATCTATATGAAACAGAAGTTGACTCTAATAAAATTAATGTGGAAATGATGACATATTTAGAACTAGATTACAATGAAAGTACTACAATATCAAGATACACATTGGATACAGCAAAGTTATACTTAAAGGGAGAAATTATGGTTAAAATGTTTATTTTAAAATGACTGAAAATAGTGCTTTGAAAGTACAAATCAAGAAGTTAGGAAAAAAATAAAGTAAACCCAAAGAAAGCAGAATGAGGCTTATAATGAAGAAAAGACTTTAGCAAAAGTAGAAAAACAAAATCAGTAGAGGTGACCAACAAAATCAAAAGTTGATTCTTTGAAGAGACTAATAGACACAATTTGGGCAAAAATGATCACAAGTAAAGGAAAGAAACCAAATAATATAAAGATTTTACATGGGGAATAACCAAGATAAAGATTTTAAAGCCATGAGACTACTATGAGAAAAAAAGTATGCCAATACATTTGAAAATTTTAGTGGGAAAATTTCAACAAAAATGTGAATTACGAAAACATATTCAACAGGGAAACTGAAAAGAATTGAACTGATAACCAAAATCCCCCAACCCTGCAAATTCCTTATTTGTTAAATTTATTCCTAAGCACTGTATAAATGAACAGACCATTTGTGAGGAAAATTACAAAATACACTTATGAGGAAAATTACAAAATATATTACATTATGAAAAGTAATACAATTGACCCTTGAACAACACAGGTTTGAACTGCAGGGGTTCACTTATACGTGGGTTTTTTTCAGTAAATGTATATTATAGTACTACATGATCCATGGTTGGTTGAATCCACAGATGCAGAACCGCAAATATGGAGGGCCAACTGTAAAGTTATGTGTGGATTTTCGACTGCATGGGGTCAGTGCTCCTAACCCCTGTGTTGTTCAAGGGCCAATTGTAAATATATTATATTTATGAGGAAAACTACCAAAAAATGAAAGAAGACCAAAATGAGTGACATGCTATATCTTATTCATGGATAGGAACATTCACTATTATTAGGATATCAAGTCTCCAACAATTAATCTATAAATATAATTCTAATAACTAACCAACAGTATTTCTCACAGAACTTGACTAATTCCAACATTTATATAAAATTTTGAAAAAGCCTTGCCCTACTAGAGACAACTAGATTGTTACAAAGGTACAGTAATTAACACAGTGCCATATTGATTCAGGGATAGACAAACAGACCAGTGGAACATAGTAGAAATTTCAGAAACAGATTGAAGCATTTTTTTTAATCCTGAAAAATGACACTGGAAATATTAAAAGCCAGTGGGGGAAAAACACATCACATACATTAGGATGGTTACTATTTTAAAAAACAAAACAGAACATAACAGGTGTTGGTGTGGATGCAGAGAAATTAGAACTCCTGTGTACTGTTGGTGGGAGTGCAATATGGTGAAGCCCCTATGGAAAACAGTATGCTGTCGCTCAGAAAATTAAAGTAGAATTATCATATGATCTAGCATCTCTACTTCTGAGTATACATTCAAAAGAACTGAAAACAGGGACTAGAACAGGTTATTTGCACGTCCATGTTCATAGCAGCATTATTCACAACGGCCAAAGACAGGAGCAACAAATCTTTCCATCAACACATTAATGGGTAAACAAAATGTGCTATAAAAACATACAATGGAATATTATTCAGCCTTAAAGCCTTAAAAAGGAAGGAAATCCTGACCCATGCTACAACATGGATTAACCTTGAGGACATCATGCCAAGTGAAACAAGCCAGTCACAAAAGGACAAACACTGTATGATTCACTGAGAGGAGTCAAATTCACAGGTAGAAAGCAGAATGGTGGTTGCCAGGGGCTGGAGGGAACAGAGAATAGGGAGTTATTGTTTAAGGATATAGAGTTGCAGTTATGCAAGATGCAAAGAGTTCTAGAGATGGATAATGGTGACGATAGCAGCACAACAGTGAAAATATATCAATACTTAATGTCACTTAAAGATATACTTAAAAATGATTAAATAAAATAACATTATTTATAAATTAAGTCCCAGGTATGTAATGTATACCACAATAACTACAGTTAATAATACTGTATTGTATATTTTTAAATGGTTAAAATGGTAAATTTCATGTTATGTGTATTTTACAGTTAAAAAATTTTTTTCAAATGTAACAATTTTAAAAAGCATGGACCAGATAACACACTATTCATGATAGTGATTGCTTAGTGAGGCAGAGAGGGGAACAGGATTAGGAATGGAAATACAGGCAACCTCAACAATATCTGTACTGTTTTTTTCAATAATAAACAAATAGCTGAAGCAAACATGAACAAATGTTCACATTTGTTATTTTTGGTAATGATTACATGAATATTTACTATATTATTGTCTGTATTTCTATGCAGTTTTTAAATTTAGAGGATAAGGTACAAGCTGAAAAAACAAGGTAGTAAAACAAAGAGGGGCCTTAGAGACTGGGAGAAGGAAAATTCTGGAACAATCAAAATACTGGAGGCCTTAGTAAGGCCAAAAGCAGTTTTAGGGGAATGAGAGAGTGAAAGGAAAGCTGTTAAAAATAGCTATTCACAATGGCTTTAATACGATTGTCTGAGAGAAAGATTTTAATAATACAGGATTAAAGCAGTTCCAAGAAATGACTAACTGAAGAATATGGTCTTAGAACTAGGTTAGAAAGTAAACATTATTTAAAAAGGTAAAAATATAAAGTCCTGTGCTGTGTACTGTCAAAAAGAAAATAGTAGTAGGCATAGTCCTTGTACCTGTTAGAGAGACAAAACTCAAAGGGAATTGGTTAACCAACAAAATCTGACAGTATGTAGGTAAGTGGAAAATAAGTTGTATAGAGAATATATGCTATAGAAATTCAGTAGAGAAGATGAAAACAGATTATAAATTGGTCCAGAATCACATAATGGAATAAATGGTAACCTAGGAGACCCATGAAGGAATAGGGTTTGGATGGAAGAAAAAAAGTAGGGTAAGGTGTTTGGGGTATAGGGAAAGAGTATGAAACAAAGTATAAAGCCATAAATGAGTTAAGTGCATCTGGGGTAGTGGTTGAAGACCAGCCTGGCTGGAGCAGCAACTAGGAAGCACTGAGAAGTATAATTGTATAGATGGGCTGAAAGTTTCAAGCATATGATTCTGAATTTTTAACTTATTTGAAACAAGGAACCATTAAGGATTTAAGCAAATGCATGTTATGATAGTATTACTGTAGGAAAATTAATCTGGAGGCATCTAAGAAGAAAAAGAAGTAAGAGAAAATAAGAAATAAGAGGGAAAACCTTATGTTTTATGAAAATAAACTTTCATGATATATGTTAATTTATAGAATTTTTACAAATGAATTTAAAAGTAACATCATTACCTTCTAGCTTGAGATTTATCCCTCCACATTCTATAATTCCAATGAATTTGCCTTCTATCTGACCATTTTTATAAACAAAAATTGTTGGTAAACAATTGTCATGGTAGTGTTGAATACAGCTATTCACAATGGCTTTAACAAATTTAGTTTCAGGAAACTTTCTTGCTAGGAGACTAAGATGCTGGTTAACCAACGAACACATTGGGATGCTAAACAGAGAAACAGTACACACAACGTTGTTAAAAAACAAGACTACTCATCTCAATCTAATAAAATAAGTGAAACATCTCCATGACAAAAATATATCTTTAGATATTCTTTTAATATAAGAGCATATCAATTGCTATCCTCTATTTTTACCTTTAGTAAGGATGAACTATAGAGTTCTCTGATTTTTAAAAAAATATATTTATTTGCCTGCACTGGGTCTTAGTTGTGGCACGCAGGATCTTCGTTGCAGCATGAGGGATCTTTTAGTTGCGGCATGCAGTTTCTTTAGTCGCGTCTTGTGGGATATTTAGTTGCGTCTTGTGGGATATTTAGTTGCGTCTTGTGGGAGCTTTAGTTGTACCTTGTGGAATTTTTAGTTGCATCCTGTGGACTCTTTAGTTGCATCTTGTGGGATCTAGTTCCCTGACCAGGGATTGAACCCGGGCCCCCTGCATTGGGAGCACGGAGCCTTAGCTACTGGACCACCAGGGAAGTCATAAGTTCTCTCATTTTTATTACAAACACCGTCATAGCCTGGGAATGAAGCTTGCTACCACAGGAATTTGCTGCCTAACTGAAGCTAACCACATCTGACTTAGCATCAATTTAATCGAGCCAGTTCCTAGTTTATAGCACATGGAGGGGGTTGGGGGGCAGTGGGGGGGGAGGAGAAAGAAAGAAAAAAGAAAAGAAAAAAACAGGACATATCTAGGGACTCCTTAGCAGCTCTGAATTGAAACAAGGGGATCCCAACTCTTCATCAAGGGTTTATTTCCACATGAGATCATCACATCTGAAGTTATTTCAAGCTTCCTTGAATTCCTTTACTCTAACAAACTTCATCCATCCTTCTCTTTGACATGCCACATCCTGTTCCCCATCATCCAGAACTATTCTTCATCAGAAATTTAAAATTGATTGGAAATGTAACCAAAACCTACAATTCTTCCTGCTCTATCACTTAACTCTCATTACACTCACACGTTAATTAGTCCCTTTTCTCTCAGTCTATCACTCACTCACAGATTTATCAAATACTTTCAAAGCTAATCCTCTGCTTTATCCCACACTCTTTCCATTTCCTATGGGGCCTTTATTTGTTATTCTGCTTCCCTCTCTTCCTGTTTTCTTAACCTTTCCTTCTCCACTTTACATAAAATTACTAAATTTTTTAAAAAGTCCCTTTTAACTCTCCCTCTAATAAACTACTCTCTCTCCTTCTGGTCACAGCCTAGATGAAAAAGGTAAAAAAAAATCTCTATGTTCTGTTCACTTCCCTTGTTAAAGAGTTCTCCTTTTTTGACTTCTGTGATAACACTTTCTATTAATTTCCTTTTTACTCCTTTGACTTCCTTCTTCTGTCTATACCTCAAATGTAGATATTGCTTGTAATTATGTCCTAGACCCTTTTCTAATTCTAGACACATTCACTGGGCAGTCTCACCCATTCTGATATCAACAGCGGATGAACTTCATCTCCCCTCCTCCCTCAAACAAACAAACAAAAAAATCTGATCTTTATCAGTATTTTCTTTAAAAAAAAAAAACACTGAATTTGATACATGTATTTCTCCTTTGTATGCATTTTCTCATCATTCATATAGAGCATATTTGAAACAACAGTGTAAAGAAATATTTGTGTGAACTGATGTTAATTATATTAATGTTGTATATAATATAATGTTATATAATGTTATAAGTATATAATGTTAATTATATATATATATATAATAATTTAATATTTAAATTATTTTTGTGTGATTCCCTGCTTTGACTTTTTTACCTTTGGTCCCGCTTTATCCCTTTCTCCCACCTCTGGCAGCCACCAGTCTGTGCCCTGTATCTATGAGCTTTTTTTTTCTTTCTTTCTAGCTTCCACATATAAGAGATATCATATGGCATTTGCTTTTCTCTGTCTAACTTATTTCACTTGTCATAATACCCTTTAGGTACATTCGTGTTGTCCCAAAAGGCAAATTTTTGTTCTTTTTTATGGCTGAATAATATTCCATTGTATATATACCACAATTTCTTTGTCCATTCATCCATTGATGGACATTTAGGTTGTTTCCATATCTTGGCTATTGTAAATAATGCTGCAATGAATATGGGGGTGCATGTATCTTCTCGAGTTAGTGTTTTTTTTCTCCAGATAAATAACCAAAGGTAGAATTGCTAGATCATATGGTAGTTCTATTTTTAATTTTTTGAGGAACCTCTATACTGTTTTCCATAGTGGCTGTACCAGTTTACATTCCCACCAACAGTGCACAAGAATTCTCTTTTCTCCATGTCCTTGCCAACATGTTATTTCCTGTCCTTCTGATAATAGCCATTTTAACAGGTGTGAGGTGATATCTCACTGTGGTTTTGACTTGCATTTCCCTGATGATTAATAATGTTGAGTATATTTTCATGTACCTGTTGGCTGTCTGTATGTCTTCTTTGGAAAAATGTGTATTCAGATCTTCTGCCCATTTTTAAATCAGATTGTTTTTTTGATATTGAGTTATATGAGTTCTTTATATATTTTGATATTAGCTCCTTATCAGACATATGATTTGCAAATATTTTCTCCCATTCAGTAGGTTGACTTTCATTTTATTGATAGTTTCTTTTGGTGTGCAGAAGCTTTTTAGTATAATGTAGTCTCATTTACTTTTGCTTTCATTGCTTTTGCTTTTGGTGTCAGATTCAAAAAATCATTACCAAGACCTATGTCATTGCTTATGTTCTCTTCTAGGAGTTCTGTGGTTTCAGGTCTTACATTCAAGTCTTTAATCCAATTTGAGTTAATTTTTGTGTATGGTATAAGATAGGGATCAAGTTTCATTTTTCTGCATGTGGCTGTCCAGTTTTCCCAACACCATTTATTAAAGAGACTGTCCTTTCCCCATTGTATATTCTTGCCTTCTTTGTCATAAATTAACCATATAAGGTGTGGGTTTATTTCTGGGCTCCCTATGCTGTTCCATTGATCTTTGTGTCTATTTTTATGCAAATGCCATAATATTTTAATTACTATACATTTATAATACAGTTTGAAATCAGACTGGTGGCTGCCAGAGGTGGGAGAAAGGGATAAAGCGGGACCAAAGGTAAAAAAGTCAAAGCAGGGAATCACACAAAAATAATTTAAATATTAAATTATTATATATATATATATAATAATATATATATTATATATATTATATATATAATAATATATTTATATAAATTTATATTATATATATTATAATATATATATTATTAATATAACTTAAATATTTTATTTTCATCTGACATATATAAACATACATTAATTTAGTAATCTTTGATATTGGCTCATGAGCTGCTCATCTATAGCTTTTCTCATCTAAACTATACCATAATACATTGTACCATAATACATCTGTATTTTCTCAGTGCACTCAGGCCAAAAAATCTCCCTTTCCTCTACAATATCTAATAAGTAATCAAGTTATATTGATTCTACCTCCTTATCTTATACCTATCCTCTCCTCTCTTTCTCTACTGCTTTCCTCCTTTCCTGTCTCATCTGAGCAACTTCAGATTGTCCTAAGTGGTCTCTGCGTTTCCAGTCATGGTTCCCCAAACCCATCCTAGACCCTACTGAAAAAGTTGGCTCAGCAGGAAAATCTCATCATGCAACGAATGCCCTTCCCTTGATTGTAAAATCCTCCAATGGCTCCTCACTGCCTTTAGGATAAGTCTGGGCTCCTCAGGGTAGCTTTCAAGGTTCTCTGTGGTCTGGCTCCTGCCTATCTCTCCAGCATTATTGTCTGCCTGCCACCATATTACTCAAGGTCCTCTAAAGCAAGATGATCCCTCTTATTTCTGTACCTTTGTTCAAGCTGCATACCCCATCGGAAATACCCCATTCAGTCTGTCTACTTCCTCCAACTCTGTAAACTCGGGGAATCTTTTCCTAATTTTTGAGGCCAAGACCAAGAATTATTTCACAGAAAGTCCTGTACTTCCACCCTCCAAGAGTTGAACTTACTACTCCCTCTTCAGTGCCTTTACTCTACTCTGTATAGAATTCAATCATAGCACCTAAAAGACATTATTATTACATCTAATTGTCTCCCTCTACTGAAATTTCTTTAATGGGAGAAATAGATGCCTTATATGCCTTTGCACCTCCAGCATCTACAAAATCCTCAGAAATCAGCTTAACACTAAGAGATGTTATATATCAATTTATGTAACAAAAAGCTAAGAGAAAAACAAATTAAATGCATTATATGTTTAATTTACATTTCAGAATATATGTATACATATATATCCTGATAAGTATAACCTGCTACAAATCTAGCTACTGCTTTATTTTAGTGGATAGCATACTAAAGGTAATATTAGAAAAACATGTACTGCCTAACTTAAATCAGTTTTCCACACAAAGCAATGACATAAATACTTTATAAGCTTCAGTTTCCCTCAAATAGGTGAAATGCACCCACAAATATCTAATTTAGAAGAATTTTATGATTACTATCACAATGAGAGCTGAGTCGGTGGTATGACCCACTTATGGGGTGGGTGGTGTTAATGGCAGAAGGCAGGTGGGCATTGGTGGTAGCAGTGAAAAGTACAGAATTAGGAGAGTATGGCACAATAGACTGCAGTGCAGGGAGAAAGTGGCTACCTGAAGGCAGTTCTGACAGCAAGCGGTAGGGAAAAGACTTGGTGTTGGGGTTCAAGGGCCAAAATTGAACCTCAGAAGATCTGTAAAAACTAAGGGAGACCTCTGACATCCAAAAACAAGTTAAGGGCCTAGTTATGATATTTGAGGTTCAAAATGTACAGTTGGGTACAGGAATAATGTAGAAGCCCCAAATTAGAACTTGGACACAGGCGTAAGATTGAATAAAATCGAAAACAAGGCTGACTTGAAGTTAAGCCACTAGGTTCACTGGCCCAGAGTGAACTAGATCCCTTTAAGGTAACCTAAGCAGGCTGAGCCTATAAACTTAATGGCAAAGAGACATTAAAATTACAGAACTTAGGAATCTAGTTAAAAAACAAACTCTTACCCTCCTGTAAAATTTTTAGAAGGCAGCTAGAAACACAAATTTATCAGTTATACTTTACATTATTAAAAAGTTATTAAAAACTAGACTTTTCTAAAGAACATGTGTAACACAAATAATTGTTTTCTGTTTTATAACTTTGATTATAGATTAGTTTTCTTAATTTTGTACCAACACATTAATACATTTTCTTAATGTCAAGAAAACTAATTTTATTTTTTCTTGGCTGCCCTGGGTCTTAGTTGCGGCATGCGGGATCTTCGTTGTGGCATGTGGAATCTTTTAGTTGCAGCATGAAAACATTTAGTTGCAGCATGTGGGATCTAGATCCCTGACCAGGGATCGAACCCGGGCCCACTGCGTTGGGAGGGTGTGTTCTTAGCCACTGGACCACCAGGGAAGTCCCAAAACACATATTTTATGTAACTATCTTAGATTGCCCCCCCAGGAACTTTCTGAGAAGGTCATAAATACTTAAACTATTATGAAAACAGATTCTTACTCTTTGAGTCCATCAAAGCATAACAGTTTGAAACAGACTAGATGAGACTAAAACACATTCAACCTCTTTTATGAATTTTTGAAAATTATTGGTCAAAACTAGTTATTTATCTAGATATAACCATTAAAGTAAATTTTATACTATGGTATGAGCATTCAAAACTAACATCTATTCTGCTAATCAGAATGGGTCTCAGAAAAGACATTCAGTGAATCACTTCAGTATATAACATTTATCACACACAGATCCCAGTATTATAAATGTCAGTGTTCCTCATACCTATTTGTGAAGAGTGAAAATCAGCAGCATTTACACACTTGATTTTACCATATAAGTGGTATAGGTAAAATGGGAATTGATTCTTTTTAAGGCTTTAAATTACTCAAAAATTAATTATCAATCTTTTTAGTTACAATAAAAGTAATGTCTTCTTTTATGGGGCATGGTGTCCTATTAAAATTTGTTTGAGAAACTGGTGAGTTGGTAAACAGCAGGGTTCTAATTTGCCTAAGTTGCTCTGTTCAGAATTTCTCTGAGGATCTGAAGAGAGAAGAACTTTTTATACAGAGAGAATGAGATGAGGACATGAGGGCTACTGTCATGACCTCTGTTCTTATTTGGCTTGGAGCCCAGGCAGAGGGGCTGAGACCAAAAGCTAGAGGGGCTGTTTCCATGAGAGATGTGTGAAACTATGGGAGCTAGCAGCTCCTCTGGCCGGGAGTTAGGGAAAAGTCCACTCTTCCTGGTAACTGTTACAGCAGGCTGGTGACGCCTGGGGACATATGGGTTATACTTAATACAACTAGGCACTCTAAAATTATCTGTTTTGGGGGAATAAGGGAATGCAAGGGAATTATTCAGTTAAAGGAGACTTAAGAGCTGAATTCCCTAGCAGTCCAGGGGTTAGGACTCAGTGTTTTCTCTGCCGTGGCCCCAATATCTGGTCATGGAGCTAAGATCCTGCAAGCCATGTGGCTCGGCCAAAAAAAAAAGAGAGAGACTTAAGAGACTTGATATATCTAAATGCACTGCATGATCCTTGATTGGACGCTTGTTCAAAAATATATGTATTTATGAAAGATTTTGAAGTCAGTTGGAGAAATTTGAGTAAGGACTGCCTGGGTATTAGGTAAGAAAATGGTTATATAGAAAAATGCCCTTATATTTTGAAGATGCATGCTGAGATACTTCAGAGTAAAGCATCGTGTAATTTATTTTGAAATGGTTCTACAAATACACACACATACACATATAAACAAAATGATACAAATATGGCAAAATGTTCATTGTTGAATCTACCTGGCTGGTATTTAGGGTGTTCATTTTATCATTCTTTTTACTTTTCTGTATGTTTGAAATTTTCTATAAGTTTTTTTAATTAACTGTCAAAGAGTACTTATTTTTCTAAGAAGTATAACAAGTTCTTTAAATTAGACATGAAAATATATTAAAATACCTAATTTAATCCCTGAAGCCAATGACTCTACACATATATTTTTCTTTATTTATTTTTGGCTGTGTTGGGTCCTTGTTGCTGCGCGCGGGCTTTCTCTAGTTGTGGCGAGCGGGGGCTACTCTTCGTTGTGGTGCCTGGGCTTCTCATTGCGGTGGCTTCTCTTGTTGCGGAGCATGGGCTCTAGGCACGTGGGCTTCAGTAGTTGTGGCACGCAGGCTCAGTAGTTGTGGCGCACGGGCTTAGTTGCTTCGCGGCATGTGGGATCTTCCCGGACCAGGGCTTGAACCCGTGTCCCCCGCACTGGCAGGCGGATTCTTAACCACTACGCCACCAGGGAAGCCCATATTTTTCTTTTTTTAATTGAAGTATGATTGATTTACTTTACTTTTCTTGATTAATCTTTGTTATATGCTTTATACAACATTAAAACCAGAAATACATATATTAAAAATTAGTATATTAGCCTTTTGCAAAAAGCTATGGTAATTACCTTGATCTGTATAGGTGAATTATAACCCACACATCCTTTTCTGCATTTGTGACTTCATTCACATACTGATTTCCAGAAATTTCTCTTAATTCCCCAAATTTTTGTTTTTTCTTAAGAGCTTTCCATTCCTGTAACCGCTTTTCTCTAGTTAAGAAAAAGAAATTAAATTACATAAGAATATTGTTATATTCTTAAGGCCATCCCCATATACAGTAATAATTTAGAGCAATGAATGTAATGCTAGTACATATCAAACACTTTAAAGAGTAACTATTAACGGCTTTACAATGCCAGTTTCTCTTTTTATACGGGTATTTGCTTTATCATGGGTATTGTAAAGTATAAGAAATTAGCTACTGACTTAATTTTTGTTTAAGACTAAGTCAATCATAGCTATAGAGAGTTTATTTAGACATTGGGTCAACAAATTCTCATATACGGCTTAAATAAAGGGAGAGTATACATAATAACTAACATTTATTGAGGGCTTACTATGTTGCTAGGTGCTGTTTTAAGTGTGTTAACTAATTTAATCCTTGCAAAAACTTTACAAAGTTAGCACTATTACTATCCCCATTGACATGCTCTTAACTGTCATGCTAAGCTGACTTTCAGTTCAAAGGCTTTGTGAATATATGCAATTAATTGTTATAACTGTATTGCAGGTAGAGAGGTGGCAGAGAAAGAGTGATTGAGTATGGACTCTAAGGTCAGACTGAACTGGCTTAAGTGCCAGCTCCCACTTACTAGTGGCGTGGACTTGGGCAAGTTATTTAACCTTTCCAAGCTTCAGTTTCCCCCAATGTGAACAAAACTAAAATCTGCTTGCATGGGATTGTTCGGGATTAAGTGTAAACATGTAAATTTCTTAGGGCAGTGTCTAGCACACCATGAACCTTTCATAAATGTTACCTAGTTATTCGTCTATAGAGAACCTTAAAACTTTGTTAAACAAATCTCAAAATTTACATACTTTGATTTAGCTGTTGAATACTTGAGTTTATGAAGCAAATCCAAATGGTTCTGACATATCTGCAAGTATGTTAAAAGTTACTGACTGTGTATCTCTAAGTACCTGGAAGTACTTACTCCCCTTCTTTCTCTGTGTATTAACTATATTTTCTTGTTTTCTGTACAGTAAGTCCTCTACATATGAACAAGTTCCATTCTGAGAACACATTCATTAAATCCAATTTGTTTGTAAGCCCAACAAAGTTAGCCTAGGTATCCAACTAACACAATCGGTTATATAGTACTGTACAGTAATAAGTTTATAATACTTTTCACACAAATAATACATAAAAAACAAACACAAAAAAATAAAACATTTTTGATCTTACAGTACAGTACCTTGAAAAGTACAGTAGTGCAGTACAACAGCTGGCACACAGGGGCACTTTGGCATCTTTGAAAGTTCTCAACTTGAAGGTTTGTATGTAGGGGACTTACTAGATTCAGCTCTGGCATCTGGGGTCTTCCTGATCCTAGAGAGACTGCCCCTCTCTGAGCTAGCTAGTTCCCAAAGACAGCAAACACTCACCAGAAAGCACAGTCCTCAAATGCAAACCAACCAATCCAGAGCCCAGTCCCTCAACTACCTCTTTTACTGGGCTGAGCCACTATCCCCCTGCCCAAATCATCCCCTGGGCTTGGTACCAGACAATTAGAGATAGACACTACGGTCCAGAGCCTGCCAAATTTTTTCCAACTAGCCAATCCTAAGTCTGCTTACCCTGCCTAGCTCGTCTTTCCCACAGAAACTACATAAAGGCTCATATCCATCTTAGCCTCTCCCTCCTCCTGCCTCTTGACCAACTGGTGCTTCCCTGTGTGGCCCTGCATTGTGGGACATGCCCCCTACTCTTGAGACCTGTGAAAATAATAATAATAATAATTATCTCCTGATCTGTTGGCTTCACCATACCTGAATATATACAAAATCCTGGGTCTATTTTAAAACACTGTGTCCTTATTTCACATATTAGAAACATGTCCAGTAAGACCACTCACTTTATATAACAAGTAATCCAAGCAAAATTAAGCCTAGAGGAGAATGTCAAGAACAGTAATCCAAGTGTAGGGCCCTCTCAGTTTTCAAACTGAAGGTCTTCAATTTTCCTTCTACTGGCCCAGATATTCAGAACTGACAGTCACTCCAGAGAGCTTTTGGGAGCCCTATTTTGTTTGCATTGAGTATTTGGCATCACTATCATTAATGTCCCTCAATTTGATCTCATTGGCTTAATATGTTTCAGAATTTTCAAAAAGTTTTTGTTCCAATGATGGCACTATGCCCTACTTAATGGTGCAGCTATCAACTACTTTTCTTCTTCCTCCACTCTTCCACCTTCTCCTCCTCATTTTTCTTTACTGTCAACAGAATTGGGCAGGGAAAGACATAAAAACCTGGGTTAGCTTTGCCATCAGGAAGTGACAGAGTGTTCAATGGCCTGCATTTTTCACCTAACAGTCATACCAACTGTGATTCAGTCTCATAAACAGAAAGCCCTCTAGCTATTTTAAGCAGCAAGAAGCTTAATCTGAGGAATTAAGTGCTTTATAAACTTAATGGAAAGATGAAGGAGGAGGCTCCAGACTGGGCTACCAGGAAGACTCCCCGAACAACTTTGCAAAACTGGTCTGCCAAGGGAACAGCTTTCTCCGCTGCAATCCAGAAACTGGGGAATCTGGAACTAACGTTCCAATTGTGCCCTAGTATCCCCTACTCTGGTGATCAGAAAACCCCTGTAACAGTTGTCTCTAGGAACCTATCTCCTTAGCAGAGACTGGGAGAAAATATTTGCAAAAGTCGTATCTGAACTGGACTGTTATTTGAAATATACAAAACTCTAAAAACTCCACAATAAGAAAACAACCTGATTTAAAAAATGGGCGAAAGGTCTTAACAGACACCTCACCAAAGAAGATATACAGATGATAAATAAGCATATGAAAGGATGCTCCACATCTATGTCAACAGGAAAACAAAATTAAAACAATGAGAGGCCACTACACACCTATTAGAATGGCCAATATCTGGAACACTGATAACACCAAATGCTGGAGAGGACTGGAGAAACAGGAACTCTCGTTCGTTGCTGATGAGAATGCAAAATGGTACAGGCACTTTGGAAGACAGTTTGGCCATTTGTTTTTTTTTTTTTTACAAAACTAAACATACTCTTATCATTTGATCCAGCTATCAAGCTTCTTGATATTTACCCAGAGGTGTTGAAAACATGTCCACACAAAAACCTGCACACAGACGTTTATAGCAACTTTACTCATAATTGCCAAAAGTTGGGGACTTCACTGGTGGCACAGTGGTTAAGAATCCACCTGCCAATGCAGGGGGAACACGGGTTTGATCCCTGTTCTGGGAAGATCCCACATGCCACGGAGCAACTAAGCCCGTGTGCCACAGCTGCTGAGACCTGCGCTCTAGAGCCCGCAGGCCACAACTACTGAGCCTGCGTGCCATGACTACTGAAGCCCACGCGCCTAGAGCCCGTGCTCCACAACAAGAGAAGCCACTGCAATGAGAAGCCTGCGCACCACAACGAAGAGTAGCCCCCACTCACTGCAACTAGAGAAAGCCCGTGCACAGCAACGAAGACCCAATGCAGCCCAAAATAAATAAATAAATAAATAATTGCCAGAAGCTGAATGCAACTAAGATGTCCTTCAATAGGTGAATGGATAAATAAACTGTGGTATATCCAGATAATGAAATATTATTCAGTGCTAAAAAGAAATGAGCTATCAAGCCATGGAAAGACATGGAGAAACCTTAAATGCATATTACTAAGTGAAAGAAGCCAATCTAAGAAGGCTACATACTATATGATCCCAACTATATGACAGACTGGAAAAGGCAGAATAGTGGAGACAGCACAAAGATCAGGGGTTGGCAGGAGAGAGGAATGAATAGGCAGACCACAGAGGATTTTTAGGGCAGTGAAAATACTGTGAATGGTACCATAATGATGGATATATGTCATCATACATTTGTCCAAACCCAAGAATGAACTGTAATGTACATTATGGACTTCGGGTGATTCTGATGTATCAATGCAGGTTCATCAATTATAACAAATATATCACTCTGGTGGGTAATATTGACAATGGGGGACGTTATGTTATGTGTGGGGCAGGAGGTATATTAGAAATCTATACCTTCCATCAATTTTGCTGTGAACCTAAAACTGCTTTATAAAAAAGTCTTAAAGGTTTTCTTTCGTCATTGCTCTTTTGTTTTGGCTTTAAATGAGGGATTTGCTTTAAATCAGCACTATCAAGACTACTACAGAATTTTCTCTTCTTAACAATAAGTAAAATTTTAAAAGGCTACAGGTTCCTTTTTCCTTAGATCCAAAGTGAGAGCAGAGACACTGAAATAATACTAGAATTTGGTGACCAGAATTAGAGTTGTACTTCTGATATGGAATATGCAAGGGAAAGAAATTCTGTGTGTAATATCTCTTTAATCTCTGTGGCAGAGAGTGTTTGGGTGTTCATCAGTATAGCTTCCTCTTCCAGGACTCACAGGAAGACTATATTTGCCAGCACCCTTGGCAGTTAGATTAGGGCCATGAGACTGGATTACGTCCAGTGGAACATGTGTGAAAATAATATGTACATTTCTAGGACTTATCTCTGAAATGTCCCATCCCATCTTTCATACTGTCTTCCTGGTCCACAAGCCTGGATGTTAAGGATTCTGAGATGATGAAGCCCCTAATGAAATGTTCATTGCAGCACTATTAGCCAGGACATGGAAACAACCTAAATGTCCATCGACAGATGAATGGATAAGGAAGATGTGGTACATATATACAATGGAATATTACTCAGCCACAAAAAGGAACGAAATTGGGTCACTTGTAGAGATGTGGATGGACCTAGAGTCTGTCATATAGAGTGAAGTCAGAAAGAGAAAAACAAATATCATATATTAACACATATATGTGGAATCTAGAAAAATGGTACAGATGAACTTACTGGCAGAGCAGGAATAGAGACGCAGACGTAGAGAATGGACTTGTGGACACAGTGGGGGAAGGGGATGGTGGGATGAATTGGGAGATTAGGTTTGACATAAATACACTACCACGTGTAAAACAGATAGCTAGTGGGAACCTGCG